GACACAAGAGACATGTATCAGTGCAGTCGCAGTCAGCAACTAAGCTATTCAAACCCGCTTATTTGAGACCAGGAGGTTAAAGAGGCCACCCTTGCAGCAAGTGCGGTAAGGGTTATGTGGGACCCTATCAGGTAGGGTTGATATGATATATGTGTGTAAAAACGGGGCATTTTGAGAATGGATTTTTCGAAGGGATTTTGTGTTTGCTTCAGTTGCAACCAGACGGGCCATGTGAATGCTGATTGCCCATCGCCTTCCTTAAGATCAGTGCAGACTCTAGCTCCTCCAACCTTGCACATCACTGATGGTCACCCAGGAAGGTCGTGGCCTAGATGACCTAAGAGTTAGCTTTGTAGTTGATATTAGAGGAGGTCAGGACAGTTTCTGACGTCGTTACTCATACTTGTTCATTTTTATTTTTTTTGTCAGTTATATTTTTGTATGCTTATATTTATGCTTCTGTAGCTACATTCCTAGTGAATTCATTACCTCTGTTAGAGTTTTTTGACTCGGGTGCGAGTTAGATCTTCTGTGTCGTCTTCGTTTAGTATGGATTTTCTTATTGCAATTGGATCATTGGATCGACCTCTAGAGGTCGCCATTACCGATGATCACATGGTTTCATACTTAGACATTTATTGTAACTATGTGTTGGAGATTGGTGTAGGATTTCCGATAACCTTGTTCCTATTCCGATAAGGGATGTACGTGTGATCGCGGTATGGATTGGTTGAATCGGTTCAGAGTATTGATTGACTATGAGAAGAAATTAGTGGCAATTGATACCTTAATTGAAGGAGAGTTGACCATCTACTAGGAAGGCATTAGGGTTGGTTCATCCTTCTGTTCGGCCACCAGGTGTAGGTAGTATCTTCAACATGGATGCTTGAGTTACCTTACATATGTATTAAACACTCGAGTTGAAGGGAAAAAGTCAGTTTCATATGTTCTGTGGTGAGAGAGTTTCCTAATATTTTCCCAGAGGATCTACTGGGCATGCCTCATAAGAGGGAGGTGGAGTTTAGGATCGACCTGATCCATGGTGTTACCCTGATTTCCAAGGCACCCTATTGACTTGAACTTCTCGAGATGCAGGAGTTGTCATCATAACTCCAAGAGTTTTTGGGGAAGAGATTTATTCAGCCGAGTAGCTCATCGTGAGGAGCACTGATCCTTTTTTTTGTCAAGAAGAAGGATGGTTCACATTTGATGTTCATTGATTACTGGAAGTTGAACAAATTGATGGTGAAAAATTAGTAGCCATTGTTGAGGACTGATGATCATTTTACCCAGCAACATGGAGCGTTTTGATTTTCCAATATCGATTTGAGGTCAGGCTACCATCATATGAGAGTTAGGAAGCATGATATTCAAAAGATGACCATCTGTACATGTTATGGTCATTACGAGTTCGTGGTGATGCCTTTCGGTCTAACCAACTTACTGACAATGTTCATGGATCTCATGAACCGGATGTGTCAGTCGATGTTTGATTGATCGTTGCTTGTTTTTATTCATGATATCTTGGTCTAGTCTAAGACCAAGGCGCAGCATGATATGCACCTTTATGAGATTTGTTGGGGTTCTACGAGTGGAGAGGTTGTATTCCAATATCTCCAAGTGCGAGTTCTAGTTGCACGAGGTTCAGTTTTTGGGACACCTCTTTAACCAAGACGGTATTTTGGTTGATCCAGCCAAAATTAAGGCAGTGGTGCAGTTAGAAGTTTTGATATCTCCATTGGATATACGAAGTTTCCTTGTTTTGGTTGGTTACATGAGATTTATCTGAGACTAATCCAAAATTGTAGTTCCTCTTATGAGGTTGACTAGGAAGACTATCGCTTTTCGTTAGGGGCCTGAGCAGCACACAACTTTCGAGACCCTATGGCAGAGCTTATGTGAGGCACCGGTTATGGCACTCCCTGAGGGAGTTAATGACTTTGTGATATACTATGACACGTCGATTCTTGGTTGGGGTATTGTTTTTATGAAGAGAGGGCTTGTTATAGCTTATGTTTCGAGGTAGCTAAAGCCTCACGAGGCGAATTATCCTTCTCACGATCTTCAGTTGGGGGCAATGATTTTCTCCCTTAATATTTGGCACTATTATTTATACGGGGTCCATTGTACTATCTACATAGATCAAAAGAGTTTGAGGTACTTCTTGAATAAGATGAATCTAAATATGAGGCAAAACAGGTGACTTGATGTAGTTAAGGATTACGATTATGAGATCCTATATCACCCGAGGAAGGCTAATGTAGTGGCCGACACTTTGAGCCGCAAGACAGCATGTGTTCCTATTCAATACATATGTTTGAGGATAACCATCATTTCACCACTTCTGGATACGATCAGAGAGGGATAGGCTGATGGAATCAAGAAGTAGAGCTGGAAGAAAGAAAAGACCTGGGCCAAATTTCTACTTTTGTTACTAATAGGCGCGATCTACTGACTCATTGTGGGAGATTTTAGGTTCTGGTTTTCAATGTATTTTGTTAGATAGGGTTGGAGGAAGCTCACGAGTCTAAGTTCTTGATTCATCATGGCGATAAAAATGTATTGAGACTTGAGACTCGGTTACTAGTGGCCCTTCATGAAGAGGGTAATAGCATGGTATGTTGAGAGATACCTGATCTATCGTAATGCCAAGGTCGAGAATCAAAGACCACACGATAAGTTGCAGCCTTTAGAGATTTTCGTTGTGGAAATAGGAATAGATTACCATGAATTTTACCACAAAGTTACCAAGGACGACCAAGGGAATTGATGTTATTTGGGTTATTGTGGACCGTTTCACTAAGGGTGCTCATTCGCATGCTATACGGAAGAGTTCCTCGGCTGATTCATTGGCCTACATCAATATTTGAGAACTTGTGGCTCATCATGGACTTCCTGATTCTATAGTCTCAGATCGAGACATTCGGTTTACTTCTGTAGTTCGTTTGAATCGAGTAATATCAAAGAAATCAAGAACTGAATACGATAAGCACAAATATGTAAATAGAATTTTTTTTTTGTCTCTAGATTATGCCTGAAAGAATATAGGGAGTACAAAGAGAGTAAAATGCTCTGGCTTACAAGAGCTCACAAAAGTTACCCTCGACCCCTATACCTACCCCTATTTATAGGGAGTAATAGACACATATAAAAAACGTAAGGACTAGATGTGTAAGCTTCGACCTTCTAACAATCCCTTATGAAATACATACATTTGAAGTAAAACATACCAACTTCGAAACTAACTAGTCCTAACTATACTTCGACACCTCACTACATAATTCAAACTCTACAATCTCCTCCTTAGTGAGAAGTATCCAATCAATGTCATTATCAACTTCACGGCCTAGTGAAGTACTCTACGAATCTTAGTATACCAGATGATAGTATTTTGAATTTCATCTTTGTCTTTAGCAGAATTCTTCTTGCGATTCCCAAGACAAACCATAAGACTTGTATACTAAGAGTTTGTGTACTCTCCACATCACACACTCGGAACAAAAAATTTGTTATTTGATTATTCTTGTTCTTTCCAAGAAAGACAACACCAAAAGGTTTGTGAGCAGTCTCCCAATCATCATAGTTCTTTAGACTTCCTTGTCCTTTCTACATCAGCTGTGGAACCTTCGAAGTTCTGTTTACTACCATAGCGAGCTCGGTGTCTGTCACAACTAAGCAATCATAGTAATTGTCTATGAAAACTTGGATATGTGCGAATTCGATCAAAAACTCATCCTCAATGTTATCCGGAAACTTCGACACATCGACAGAGCTAAGAAATTTCGTTACAATGATTAGATTATTCAGGTTCAACAGAGGGAAATCAACCACAGAAAAGTCACAAGCAACATTGTTTTCCCTGACTAAATGATATCGAAAATTTTGTAACAAACCCTCGAACAAGATTTCTCTACAAATGTTGAACACCTTAACAATCTTCACATGATACTAAACTTCTTCTACACTTTTTCCCAGAACAGCGTGAAACCTTAACTTTAATCTCTTGTACTCATTTTTATCTTTCAACTCATCAATCAATTGATACTGACCAGAGATGAGCATCATGTGGTTAATTGGAAAATCAATATAATTAAAATCAATATTTTTGACCTCAAACCTTTTCTTTGGAATCTTTTGAAATCATGCATCTTCCCTGAAGAGACTACTTGCTTGACTGTCACGTAGCACCAGTGTTTTCTTGGATCACCTTTGCTTAATCCAGGTGGATCGCTTTGCCTTTCTCTCAAAATGCTATTTATTTCCCTTTATCTCTCCATTTCCTTTTCCACATGTTCTTCTGTTCTTCCATTAAAATCACCTTCTCGATAAGTTTTCCTTTATCACATTTATCGACTTTGGAAGGCAGTGGGTTTGAACTAGACTTCGAACCGCTAACAGTTTCTCCAATAACAATGCCTTTGGTTATTGGCCTAGAAGTCATTGTTGTAGAAGTTGTTGTTAGAGAAATAGGAAGTAATGTTGAAACTTGCTTCCAAATCACCTTCCTCACAACTTTTCCTTGATTAGGATCCTTGCACCACTTGTTTTACAGGTGGGGCACTAATTGGTATCAGTGAAACTAGCTTGACTAAAGAAGCAAGTTCGGGCTTAAGATTGGATTCAAGAGAGAAAATCATCTTCAAAATCGATCTGGAGAGACAATAGTTTGTTGAGACAGATTAAGCTTCGACAAGGACTCTTTTTAAGCTCCCCAATAATTCTTCTAGCTTGTCAAACACTTTCAAGTCCCTTTCTGTCTTGGCTTCGAATTTGGTTGAGAACAAAGAATTATATTCCACAAGCTTCTTTACTACCTCAATAAGGACATACACCTTGATATGAAGACTTGAATAGTTCGGTTCGATCTTATCCACCTCCATCGACATCTTAGATTTCAGTTCCTCCATTTTGAGCTTAAAAGATTCCTCCACCCTTTTAACTTCCTCAACAAAAATGAGATGACATTCTTTGGCAACGTCTCGAAGCTTGGTCACCTCATACTAAAAATTTTCAACAAGAAGCTTTAAACATTCTTCATGCTTCTGCTCAATCTGATCCATGGCCATTTTTAAATGATGCTCTTGTGACTTTAGCATCATATCCATCTCAATCCCGGACAGTGTATTTTGACCCCCTATATCAGCCTGAATTTGCAACAAAGAATTCTGATTATGATTAAGAATTTTCAACTGTTTCCTGGATATGAGCAAATGATCTGGAATGTTATCTTCTTCTGGGTCAAAATGAATTTCTACAAATGAGACCATCACATCATCATCATCATCTTGTTCATCTTCTGGAACTAAATTGTCCCCTTTAGTGGATTGGGAAGGAAAAAGAGGTGTAATTGGTTGATTCCTTCTGTTTGAGAAAGTGATTGAAATGGTAGATGCTGGTAATGAAGATGGAATAGGTGAAGAGAATGGTAGTCAAGAAGTGGAAGTGGAGTTTCAAATAAGATATACCTTGAGCTTTGCTTGGCATAACCCATTCTCTCATAGTGACATTTGTGTCCATATCGGATGTGTTCACAGTGATGCCTAAAGTTCGGACCACCTCTGAAACAGACTTACTCATCAAAACTTGGGGTGGTATGACCACATCCTTCTCAGGGATGGTAGTTGTTGGAGATGCACCCAAATTAGTGGTTGTATCCATATTAGATACGTGTACATTGCCACTAAGATCTCCAGTCTCCTTGAAGGTTGACTTAACCATAGAATATCTTTACGGTTTCTCAAAGCTCAATCCAATATCTTGACGAATTGAAGACCTGTCACTTCCACTTTCAAAATCTGTTTCCACAACAACCTCAGCAAGAGGATCAACCAATTGCTTCTTCTTCTTCTTAATATTCTTAACCATCTCATGAGCTTTTCATTTCTTCAAGGCTGTTGAGATTGGAATTGGAACATCACGAAATTTCAAACCCCAATGGTAAAGTTGAGGTTTTCAAAATTTTGGAATCTTCAAAATAGAACCCTCTTTTGGTGAAGAAAGAGGTTCATCAGAAGCATCTTCAATAATGGGTGGTTCAAGAGAGTGTCGAGGACGATGAGCTGGTTTCTTGGTTCTCTTTTGAATACCTGTCTTCTTCGAAATAACCTCCTTTGAAATGTCCTTTTCAACTTGCTCAGGAACTGGTTTCCTAACCTCCTTCTCCATTTGTACTAGAACTGATTTATGTTGTTCAGGATTCTTTGAATTCTTGGAAACTTTAACAACCTTCGAAGTATGGTCTGCCCTTTTTGGCAACAAAACCCCTACTTGAACATCTCGGTTAATCGTTGTCAAATATTGAACTAGAATCGGATGAGCAGGATCGATCTTTTGTAACATGACATCATGGATTCTAGCCACTATGAGAAAAAACACAGGATCATCAGAACAACCTTAGGATGTTGATAGGTTGAAAACTCCGCCTTAGTAACATCGGATGGTACCAAAATTCCTTCTTTCTCATATACTTCTAGGAGAATCAAACTCCAATACCTCGCCCATGAAACTTCGTTCATAACATTGGTATGAGAAATACTTGTTCCAAACTCCTCCCACAACTGAGTCACGTAATCAACATTAAGATTGTAGAAGAGACCTGCAATCATGGCATAGACCTCCAATTTCTCTTTATCGATACCAGATTAGTGACTAGTTAAAAATCGATGGAAAATCCTAAACAAAAAATTCCAGATACAAGGTAATGCAGTCTTTCAAAAATGTCTGAGTCCTGTGAGTGGGGGTTGATGACCCATCTCATTAAACATATGAAAAACCTATTCATTGGTAACTTCGTAAAATGGACATGTATTTGGGAGTTTTAGGATTTGAGTGAATTGCTTCTTGGTAAGTTTGTAGAGTTTATCATTCGTAATTTGAAACGTCACCACCTTTGATATTTTGTTAAACACAACAGTTGAACCAGCCAAAGATAACCACATCATCGGAACAGATAATGAAGAAGACATAACTGTAGAAAGAACAGAATGATTGAGAGCAACAATCATTAACTTTAATTGTTCTGGATGCTTTGAAACGTTAGGTTGAACACGTAAATTAGAACTTTGAATCTTCATCAGTGGTTGAGATGATGCTTCTTCAGTAGTGTTTGAGGGATCAATGTGACCGGTTGGTGCCACCATGATTAGAATTTTGTGAGCTTTGTGGAAAGATGAATATCACGAGAGAATAATTAGGGAAAATTAAATCAATTTGCATAAAGACTTTAATTTAGACCACCAATAACATTTTATACTCAAAGTAGAAATTTGAATTTGAATCATCAATCAATAAAAATTTGCCACGTGTTGCCTTGAAAAGTGGGTCAGTTTCCGGAAAAGTCGCCACATTTGAAAAAGTGATGATCACTTTTTCATTGAAAACCTTGATGGAGCTAAACCATGACATCCGCTGAACGTTTCGCTTGCCTAATAGGATAAGAACCGTCACTTGACCTTCGTTATGACATTGTAAAGTTTTGGCATCAAGATATCACCTGGACCTTCACTTCATGGTAGGGCTCCTTTGTTTTTGGGTTGAAAAACGAAATCATAGCTAGACTTTGCAAAATCTAGGTTTGAGTTGGTATTACCCAAGATCTTGGGATTTCAGTGTAAATGTGTGCCAAAGAAATAGCGGGAACCAAGATAAAAAAATGTGTGTATAGTGACATCAAATAAACATTCGATGTAAAGCAGATGGATCCTGAGAAAAGATCACATCAATCGACATCAAGAGAGATATCAAACTACTTGTGTGGTATCCCATAAAGTACAATCAACTACTCATGAATGAATATCGAAGGGCTTCTTTCGACATAGGCTTTGAAGGTAGGTACAATTTTGTTCATAACCACAACTTAACATAAGTGTGTGTAAAATGATCAAAATTACTTGTATGGCCAGTGTAGTCTGGGACAAGTGAGGTTGAGAAAATATTTTAAAGTGATGAAGGTCCGAAAAGATATTCAGCCAGATCCTCTTGGGCAAAAATGTATTGGTTAAAGAGCATTTTGTCAAGATCACTCACAATGAAGTAATACGATTTTGAATATCGAATAGTGGTACACAAATAAAATGTTTCGTTAAAATCTTGAACATAAAGTTCATCATCAATTCCTATAAAATTTAGGAATGTTGGGTTTCACCATCACCATGGAAAAATGAATCAGGATCATTAACACAGTCTTGTGCAATATCTACATTCTGGTTGGTTTCTACTAGAGATGTAACATCCGGATTTTCAGGGACATTATTGTGTATGTTAATCTTGAGATTGAAGGAGGAACTCGGCGATTTGAGGGACCAACTCGCCGAGTCGAGTCAAGTTGATCACGTAGATTTAATTAGTGGGTTCGACGAGTCAGAGGAGGGACTCACCGAGTAGGTACTGTGCAGAGAAACCCTAATTGTCTGGGTTTGTGACCTATTTCAAGGCCCTTATGGCCTTCATTTTCGGCCACACTTTCCCTTGAGAGCCTAAGAGAAACCCTTAAACCATTCTAACCTTGGTAAAGTGATTGTGTGATCATTTTGGGAAATCTTGGTGCATTTCTATGAAGAAGGATGCAGAGCTTCATGATGGGGAACTAAGGAAGGCAGTGGATTTGTGGTATTGAGTGTTTCACGTGCTAAAATAAGGTACAAAGTTCTCATCTTGCTCATTCCTTGTACTAGATCTCATGTTGGGAGTTTTAGGGCTTTGCTTCCATCCTATTGAATCTATGAGTTGAATGAGATGTGGTTTGAGGTTGGAAACCTCAGATCTGGACCTCCTAAGGTCCCTAGAGTCTAGGTGTCCTAGCTTTAGTCATTCAAATGAGGGTTGATGAGCTAAATCCTTCATGAAAGGCATATATTATCATTTTGGAGCAATAACCTCATGTATGAACGTAAAGATCGAAGCTTTACGTGATTATTGAGCCTTGAGATGATAGGTCTAGTGTTTGGGGTGATAGATCTGATTGAAATCGTCTGAATGAACATTTGGTCTGAATGAACTCGCCGAGTCGATGAGCCGACTCAAAGAGTTGGTTAAGGTTTGTCTCGAAGAACTGAATCATGCGATAGCTGGACGAGTTGGGGGTCAACTCGACGAGCTAAAATGGACTGTCACGAGATTTCTGAGGAAAATAAACGGACTCAACGAGTCGCAATGGTGCACTCGGCGAGTCGGGTCAAACATGGACCGTTGACTCGATTTTGACTTCTATTGACTTTCGAGCTTTGGTCAACATGAGTAGTAGAGACCAGGGAGGGGTAAAATGGTCTTTTATACACTTCAAAGAGTTAAAAAGAGGAAGAATAGCCTTCAGTTATTAGAGTTGTGATTAGAGGATCACTTAGAAATATTTATCCCTTGTGATTAGGTGGAGGCTAGTTCGAGATTTGGGAGCGAAGTCTTAACTTGCTGCTTGTCAATTGAGTCGTCTCATTATACATTACCTAGAGTGGTATTTATGTGCAGACCAGAGGGTCCTGTGTGTATGTGTATGTTTGAGATTTATGTGCATTGTGTTATATGTATGCTATGGGTTACATAAACCAGACCAGAGGGTCCAACGACTCATGGGCCAGAGGTTCCTCGATCAGACTGGACCGGAGGATCCAACGATTTAGACCGGACCGAAGGGTCCAACGAGCTAGATTGAACCATAGGCTCCAACAAGCTACGGGACTGGAGGGTCCCACTAAGACACATTGACCGGATGGTCACACCGAGTTATAGCCTCGAGTTGCTTATGTGTTGTATGTGGTATTTTGGGGAACTCACTAAGCTTTGTGCTTATCGTGTATGTGTTATTTGTTTCAGGTTTCTCAGGATCGCGGGACGGTATCAGCTTGATTGTACAATATGTTAGGAAAGGTTTGCGATTTTAAATGAATTTATTTTTGAAAATTTACGGTGTTACAAGAGATGTCGAGGATATGCAACTGAGGGATATGATACATGAAGAAAATTTTTGGAGAAAACATTGGTTAAGAAAACATTGTGTACCTCTTCGAATGATATGACTTAGCAGTAATCTTGTTACTCATGATGAGATGAGAAAGGTAGCTCTTTGACTAATGTGAATATAACCTGATTGGGAAGGAACCCTCGTAGTGAGAGAACCATTAAGGCTTCAAAACACATTGAGTCATCGAGGGTTAGGACAACATCAACAGGATGCTTCTAGGGACATGAAACTAGTACAAAGATTCAAATTGTAAATGTCCCACTTTTGAATAGATTCCATTAAGCATTTGCCACCACCGTATGTTGAATCATTGAGACAAACTAAAAAATTTAAACACAAAAAGACAAAACGAAGAAAGTATTTTTGGACTTTTTGTTATTGAATTTAAAGCAAAAAAATAAGTAAATCTTTTTGTAGTTTTTGTTTTTGAAATGAAAAGAGAAAAATAAGAAAATCCTTATGGGGTTTTTGATTTTGAAATGGAACGACGAAAATATGAAAATCTTTTTGGAGTTTTTGATTTTGAAAT